CTGGCTATAAACATAAAACACATCTCTCTAGATTCACGATCGCTCATAGACTTTCATTTCCTTTTCACATATCACTCTTTTCATATGAACCTAAGACCGACGCCTCACATGCCATTTCCTATTCTAGTCCCACTGGAAGACATAATTCGTGACGTCACTGGCATGCAATTCCTGTGAGCGTACAGTTAATTTTCATTTCTTTAGGCATATTCTCTAGGCGCAAACTGATGGTGACTTCATCGTCAGTGTGCAATGAGAGCTGTTTGCCATCGAAAATTGTAGACAACAGTTTACTTCAATATTTACGTTCCGAATCTAGGTCATGAGGAAAAAGAATAATGAAGCTTAACCTTGAGAAGCTCACCAACCAATCACAACCGACTTAACGTGTGCAAATACGATTCGCAGATATATAGCTTAACTTTCTAAGAAACGGTCATAAGCAGTGCAGAATAACCTTCGAACAGAAAACAACCAATCAGAAGCCGTTGCTTCCCCGCTGACAATAATGTAAATAAAAAATCTATAAATATCTGTTGATTTTCTCAATAAACTATCTGTTGCCTGGCTCTTGACTTCAGCTGTTGAAAGTGTGACTTGTTGCTTATTTTCCATTGCCATATGATTTTTAGTATTCAGAGAAATGGAAATGCTTTTCCTGACCCGCACACAGAGTCTTTGAAGTATACAGAAGCATTGGTTTGGCTGATATTAGGGCCGCAAAATCCTAATCTTGTATTTCATGCTTACGATACTTAATTTTGCTCACTGACTTTAGATTATTGAAGGTCCGTTGTGTTTTTATGAACTTAATTGCCTTTGACATCAAATCTATGCCAATTGTAGTTGAAACGATGCCATTCAAATCAGGCAAGTGAAGAAGGAGACTTCCTAAAGTTAAGTACCTTTTGGTAAGGATTAACACTTGTTGTTTTTGGGTTGCACCTTCATCAACTCTGCTGCCTCCATGATCACTTGAAGTCTTGTATTACACATGTATTCTGTCAACATGCTGAATTAAGTTCGAAGAGTTTGAACTACGTGATCTTTAAATACAACTATAGTCATCAGTGAGACAATTCTCCATACTTACAATAGCAGATATTATAAGGATGATTGACAAAGGAAGACAAATTCATTCACTCCAGGGCACACACACACACACACAAAAAGTGTGAAAATCTTTAAACCTCATTAAAGTGCAATTAAAATTTTTATTTTTCTTCTGTCTAAAAATTATCGTTTGCATCTCTTCTTAGAGTAATTAAAAGAACTGTAATTTTGAAATTAAATTTGGTATTTTGATTCCTTTCAATCTTCTTAATAATTCGCCTTGAGGCTACAGTATTTTCATGAGGATAATAATAATAATTTAAAAAAAATTTATCGTAATTCTATTACACGTACTTCAATTATGGTAGAACATTTTCTTACATACTTAAAAACGCCTAAAATCTCCCATAACTTGTTGCGCCTTCTTGAAGTCTATCGCTTTATTTGCTTGAATTAGTTGTGTTCTCTGAGGAGCTGGTTGGTGTCATTATTACGAAGCTTTCGTCGTCCACCTTCGAGACAACATCGCCCTTCAGCGAAAGTTTTAACATTCTCCATGAATGATAGAATTGTGTCTCCTGGTAACCATCTTCGTGACTGATAGTCGGTTTACATCTGTAGTGATCATTGTCATTGACTTGGAATTTGAACTTTCTTGTCAGGTGATTTACTTTTTATTAGTTGGTAAATTTGGTCTATATTAGTATGTTTATTAATCGCTGATTGATCCACTTGAGTTTCAGACTTCTAGGAATTCTCTGGCACTTCTAGTGTTTCCTCTGTTTAAAATGTCTATATTATCCCGATCAAACAGCTCTTCATAATTATCTACATGCATTGATACGAAAGAATATATATCATGCCTTTTCATCACAGCCGGTAATAGCTGGTAAATTTGGTCACTAATAATGTATTTGTTAATTGCTGTCTAATTCACTTGAGTACCAACCAGGATTCTTGGAATTTCCTGTCAATAATTTTCGTGTTTCCTATGTTGAAAATTTCCACATTATCCCAATCAGAATGGTGCCCATAATTATATACATACATTGATATTAAAGAAAATATATATTGTATCTTCATCACAGCCAATTTGTGCTCTTGGATTCAGATTTCAAATGGATATGCCTACTTTGACCGATGTAATGTTTATTGCAGTTTCTTTTCTGCTTTATCTTTCAGTTTGCACAATATCGAATGAAATGATTGTGCTGGCTGGATGGCTGGCTTGTGTGCTATATCTGTTTCAAATGGTTTTAATATTTTAGCTGCTTTTTTCAAGGGTGGAGGTAATATCCTTGTGGTGAGAGCAGGCCGTGAGAAAATATGAGCAAGGCTGATTCAACAACCAATCACAGCAAAGTTAACGTGGCAAAATATGATTCGCAGATAGAGAACTCTATTCGTCGAGGAATCCCGAAACAACCAATCAGAAGCCTGCGTTTGTCTGCCTAACTTCTGATAAACAACCAGTCAGATGACTGCGCTTGTCTACTTGCATAAGCTATAATAATGTATGTGAAATATGTATAAATACGTGTTGATTTTCATAATAAAACGATCTGTTGCCTGCCCCTTGTCTTCTGTTGTTACATTTGGTGTCGCTGCCTACCGACAAATGGAAAGCCTATACCCTGCTGTTTTTGATGGAGACATATGGATCTTCGGGCGGGACTTCAAGGCTTCTGAGCAGTTGAGTGGCGTTCAAGATCTGTCAGCGATGGAGCTGCTACTTTGGACGCTGCTGGGAGGTCGGGTGAAAGCAGCATATGAAAGTGTGAGACGAAATACTGATGAATTTTCGACAGGGTCAGGCAAACAGTTTCCAAAGTGGGAAGGACCAAATATGGTCACTTCGAGATGGGATTACGTGGACACAATCGCAATGACGAACAATGAGAGGCGCGTGAACGTCAGCGAGCTCCAGAAATGGATACAGCGAGACAAGCCAACGATGACGCCTGCACCACGTAGATCAAGCCGACTTCAGTCGCACGTATTTGACGGGGGGACGAGTGTGGTGAGAGCAGGCCGTGAGAAAATATGAGCAAGGCTGATTCAACAACCAATCACAGCAAAGTTAACGCGGCAAAATATGATTCGCAGATAGAGAACTCTATTTGTAATAATAAAACGATCTGTTGCCTGGCCCTTGTCTTCTGTTGTTACAACCTTTCGTTAAGTGCAGTTAATCAACAATAACTATGATCTGTTAAATAAAGTTCATTTATTAGAGTGCATAATTACACATGATGTCACGGTTTAGGAGTAGAATGCTAGACAGCCACACTACAGCTCCTGGTTCGATTCTCAGCTGATATACTCTCATATCCTGACCAGTTTACTAGCCATTAGAAAGCTCAGTGAAAAGAGAGAATTGAGAGTGACGAAAATGTAGTCTGTGCTACGCTTCAAACGTTATGTCCCTCTCGGAATGCAAACGAGTGAAATTAAAATTTTCGATTTTAGAAATAAATGATATACCCCTTTTTATCCATTTAGTTTCTCTCAAACATACAAGGTAAGGAGAATAATAGGATTGTTTAGTGGACTTGTACAGTTTTCATTTGACTATCTTAGCTAAATCATTAACTCCGGCTTTATTTTATTTATGCATTTTTAACTGTTTTTTATGGGCATCTTCTTCGAGTCTCATGCTTAACCCCCTTTTTCCACAGGTTTAATAAAGTCTAGGGGAGGTTCAAGATTACGTTGAAAAGGAAGCTAAACGTAACCTCCTGCTTGACGGGAGATCACTGCACCACTGTTTGATGCTCGTTTGTTTTACCGTCTTTTATACTTTTATTTCTGACAATAAGGCATAAAATATTTTTCCATTCTTGGTATTCCATGGTTGGAGGTCATCGAAATTAAGCCTTGAACACAGGTTTCATGTGAGTTGGAACTCATCAGCAAGGCGTATCCGCAACTTCGAAAGAACTCATGTCCCTTCCCGTGATATTCAAACCCAAGTCGGATAAGGATGGATCGAAACTTGTTACTAAGAACTGAGTTAGTACACTGGTGATTCCTTACCGAAAAGAAACATAGGATGAGATAAAGCTAATCCTAAACGATTGTGACATAAGAGTGTATTTTCGTGCAAATAACATCTTACGCTAGCTGCCGGTAAATGTTAATATTACAACTAAAGAAGGCAACCGACAAAATTGTGTGTACCAGTCTTCGGATTGTGACGCTGTCTATGTAAGAAAAAAAACTTGCAGACAGGTAAGTATAAGAGTGGAGGAGTGTAAAGAATAACTAAATGTGGTTCCAAAGATCTCTGCAGAATTGAAGAAGCTAGAAAACAGATTGGCAATTGCACTTAACTCCATAGAAACGGGACACAAAATCGACTGTTATAGGTTTGAGCTACGACAGAAAGGTTTTGGTTCGTATTAAGAGAGATTAACTGACCACAGAAGCCCTACATGTATTGGTGAATCCCAACAGTTTGAACAGACGTGAAAGTGTGATGTTAGCTGACAAGTTCTGCTTAATATAAGTAAGGATATATATCACTAATTAATCATACTTAGCCTAAATTTCCGATTGTCTATAACTTCTTTTGGAGAGGTTAACAAATATTTTACAACCGTTTACCCATACACACATGCACACACATCATTGTGTACTGTGTATGCCCATGTAGTTTCATATTCACTTATTTATGACCATGAACTCTTAGTGGAACGTGATCACTAAAATTCTGATGAAAAGTACACTCTGTTTAAAGTGTTTAATAAAAGTAGACTAATATTAGTAAGTCTGATGTAACATTTTGATCACAGCTCATACAATTTTGTTTATAATAATAATAATTTCGCTTTTATCCCTTGAAGCAGTACTAGTGTGGTGAGAGCAGGCTGCTAGCCGATTGGTTGGCACTAATCTACGTTAAGGTCTAGGTCACTAATATGGGCCGTGAACAAGGCTGAGTCAACAACCAATCACAGCGAAGTTAACGTGGCAAAATATGATTCGCAGATAGAGAACTCTGTTTGTCAAGGAATCCCGAAACAACCAATCAGAAGCCTGCGTTTGTCTACCTAAACAACCAATCAGATGACTGCGCTTGTCTATAATAATGTTGTCTGAAATATGTATAAATACGTGTTGATTTTCATAATAAAACGATCTGTTGCCTGGCCCTTGTCTTCTGTTGTTACATTTGGTGTCGCTGCCTACCGACAAATGAAAAGCCTATACCCTGCAATTTTCGATGGAGACATATGGATCTTCGGGCGGGACTTCAAGGCTTCTGAGCAGTTGAGTGGCGTTCAAGATCTGTCAGCGATGGAGCTGCTACTTGAGACGCTGCTGGGAGGTCGGGCGAAAGCAGCATATGAAGGTGTGGGCCGAAGTATGGACGAATGTTCGACAGGGTCAGGCAAACAGTTTCCAAAGTGGGAAGGACCATATATGGTCACTTCGAGATGGGGTTACGCAGACACAGTCGCAATGGCGAACAATGAGAGGCGCGTGAACGTCAGCGAGCTCCAGAAATGGATACAGCGAGACAAGCCAACGATGACGCCTGCACCAAGTAGATCAAGCCGACTTCAGTCGCACGTATTTGACGGGGGGACGAGTGTGGTGAGAGCAGGCTGCTAGCCGATTGGTTGTCACTAATCTACGTTAAGGTCTAGGTCACTAATATGGGCCGTGAACAAGGCTGAGTCAACAACCAATCACAGCGAAGTTAACGTGGCAAAATATGATTCGCAGATAGAGAACTCTGTTTGTCAAGGAATCCCGAAACAACCAATCAGAAGCCTGCGTTTGTCTACCTAAACAACCAATCAGATGACTGCGCTTGTCTATAATAATGTTGTCTGAAATATGTATAAATACGTGTTGATTTTCATAATAAAACGATCTGTTGCCTGGCCCTTGTCTTCTGTTGTTACACTAGTGGTACAGTGTGGAATTTTCAGCACATATCTACAATATTGCATCTAATTTCAACGCATATTTAAAAGGAGCATTATAAAAAATAAATACAAAAAACAACAACATAACCAAAAAGAAACACAAAATATAACAAAAATTGCAAATAAAAATATCAAGTAGAAAGGAAGATAGACACCAATAATGAATAATATTTCAGTATTGGGTAGTGGAAGCTATGATATGTGTGTGCGTGGTTAACAGTAGCAGCTATAATCATCCAAGAAATTATGAGATGTTCTTAAGAATGTTTATAGCCAAGATGATCAGTTAATTTCATTGAACAACACTAAACAATCATAAAATAAACATTTTGGGGGTTTTTTATTGTCAGCACTAATGCGGTGTTTGTAGTGGTAGTGTGAGGAATCATGCATAATACAAAAATTTTAAGATGGTGATAACGGCGTTCTCGACCAAAACTAATATTACATGATGGTTAATGACAGGTCAGTTTTGTAATACTCATAGTGCTACTATAGTCGGAACCAGTAGATATACAAAAGAAGGAACAGAATAAAGAACAAAAAAGTAAACCAATGATAATAATTTTAGGTAGCTAAGTATGTTTAAGAAGGTTGTTCACTATAGAGTACAAATAAGAGAGTATAAGGGGGAAATAACAAGGGCCAAAGTTATGTTATTCACAACAAAGCAAGTCATAGGTTTCGCGCTTAACATTGTCTCGGTCACTTAGAACATGGGCCAAATATGGTATCATTGAGTTCCTATAATATATATATATATATTGATGTCTGTTTCATGACTCATATTATTGGAAAAATGTTTTAATGTTTTATATATCGACTTCTTTTATATTAATTTAATTCAATTTTAAATAATCCTGTCGAGGTAGATAACGCTTTAGCGTTTGAAACTATGACCACTGAGTTTGAGCCTCGATGGGAAAATTATTACTCACTTCGGAATGCAAGCACATCCAGATGAAAGGTCCCAAATAGGACAGATGAAATGCACATCCTGGGTTTCACTGCCGGTCACTATCCACCACTTAACATGTGTTATATTAATTTCGATTAACTTCCCTGGAGAAGTTCGGACCAACCAGTTAGCCAAATGCAAGAAAATTTGGAATCACTCATTTCACTTTCACTGAGATTTTACAAATATAACTTTTACAAATGTCTGCTTCTCAACCCGCGCTTAATTATATTTTGGAGCTATTCGGTTAAATCTTGATCACAATTCATATAAATATAACATTGTCTGTACAGTGACTTAGATCCCATCATCTTAAGTAGAATAAAGCCTTGTGGAAGCATAATTTCCTGTGTGCACAAGCTCAGAGTACTTCATTACTGGCGTTAAACTTATCCATGCAGTACTACAACTATTTAGACACTAAATCAGTAAAATCACTATTGACTGCTCTTTTCATACAATACTCAATCAAGTGGACTGGAATTAAATAAGCAAACGGATATGAAATTTACTACTCTATCACACAATTCATTCATATCGAAATCAACCATGTGTAGTGTGTAAAAAAGGAAGAGAAATGGTACTTAGTCCCAAGCAACTAGTAGTAATACAAGAAAAAAGGGTATGCTGTTGGCTACAAATTTTATATCTTCCGAACTAAAATCTCATTAAAAATTTCTTTCAAAGCTCCCCCCCCCTTTACAGCATAAATTCTAATACATAGGGGCACCTAGACATTCATATATTCCATACTATGCTTGTTGAATGCCAGTCATATCCTAATTCAGCATGAATTGCTATCATTATAATTACTATTATTATTATTATTACTACTACTAAAATGCCCTTTTTGTTCTAGTAAACTATTATTATTTTGTATGGTTCTTAAATGATAGAGATATTTAAGTGAAGCATTCAAATGAAGCCTTTCTGCAGATCAGGAAAAGCCAGAATGAATCAAGCATGCAATTAGACAATACAGACTGTGGAATTACAAATTCCCCTTTGCTTTTTTTCATTCTTCTCTACATTACTATTTAAATGAATCTTATTTTGTAAAAGATAAAAAAAATTGAAAAAAGGCGGGGAACAAATACTCTATTTGCTTGCTTTTCTTATTTCAATGTTGACAAAAAAGTATCTTTCAAAGTGTGTTAGGTCTGTGTGTGTGGGGGGGGGAGGGATGGTATTTCAGTGATATTCTTGTCTAATAATTAGGACAGAATAACAACTGTTCAGTGCACTGTGTGAATTTTTATTAATTTCCTGAATGATAAACAAAAAGGGACTGATGTACGCGATAACGCCAAAAATTCAATTTTCCGGCTATTTTTGCTCTATAACAAGTGAAAGATGAATGTTAAGCTGTTGTTATTTTATTTTCTCTGTAACATTTAACCTATTCAAGATTTCTCCCACTCAGTGTACTTTGGTCAAAAGAATTAATTTAAATAACTAAAGTTTGAATAAATTAAACTCGTTTATTTGACGTATTTTAGTGAAGTTTACGATGAAACCATATTTGTTCTCAGGGTATTCTTTATGAGAGCCTATAAAGCTGCTTGAAATGTATAAGAGTTGAAAACACCTGCCTATGAGTTTTGATGAAAGTCACGCAAGCAAAGATAAGCGAGATAGCTTTGCCACATCTTTGTACATTTATCAATTAAACTGTACCTGTGGTGACAGTTATGTTGGGCGTAGTACCTACTAAACAGCCTAGCCAACGTGTTGCTGAACATCCCCCATTGTGATTTGGCAAAGGACAGACAAAAAAATCCGTAGCTCCATTTTGTCACGTTTAGTTGAAAGTGGTGATGTAAACCAGGAAATGACAGCATTCAAGGTAATTCACTGTATTCCACAGAATCTTTCGAAAAACTTCGTATTCGTCTACTGCACACAGCTTAGATGATAGGCATTCGAATTATTAAACCTAAACTATCCATTCAAAGAAGTTCTTGCAACTATTATCCCTCCCTTGTTTACCTATGAAGATCCAACCAACTGATAAAGTCCCCACCATCTCTTACTTATATTTGTAACTCCTCTCTTATCATCCCTTAATCTTATTACATTCTTATTAAAACCAGTTTTACTTATTTCCCTTACAGCCTAGCATTACGCAACCAATCCATCTGTTTGTATTAGCCTTTACTGACTGTTTCTACCTGAATATTTGTTTGTTTAATCATTCTGTTTTTCATCATTCGTGTTATCACGAATCGCCTCACATTTTCATCCTTATTATCGATAAAACCATTATCCTTATCATTACTATTAGTATGACTAATTGCACAATTTATATTCACCATCTTATTATCCTGTGGACAAAACACTATGTTTCGTTTATATTTGAATTTTTATTTGTAAAGTTATGTATATAAAAACCTCGCCAGATACTAGCTTGCTAGGCTACTATCTTACTAGTTTTCTCGCCGGTCCCAAGCCCGGGTAAAGAGGGAGGGTTGGGGCGTGGTGCTAGCAACTCCACCCCTGTAAAACAACCAAATCGCTACAGAAACTTCAACGAATAAATATATTAAAAATTCTAAAAACATAAGCAATAGCCTTACTTTTCGCTGGAATCGGGGAAGTGAAATGACGCAGGCTGGTGAAAGCCTTCGGGAAGCCAGTCAGCCGATGTGCCTTCTTTCGATGAAAGCAAAAGTAAGGATGGGTACCTGGAATGTTCGTACAATGTACGAAACTGGAAAGGCTGCCCAGATAGCCGCTGAAATGAGAAGGTACAGAATAGAAGTGTTGGGAATCTGCGAGAGCAGATGGAACGGAACTGGAAGGTGCCAACTACCTACTGGAGAGACAGTAATCTATTCCGGCCACCCAGAGGACAACCATGAGCACACCGAGGGAGTGGCCATCATGATGTCACCAACAGCAACCAAAGCTCTCATGCAGTGGGAACCAATCTCCTCCAGGATAATGACAGCCAGGTTCAACTCAAAAGGAAGGAAAGTTACAGTCATTCAATGCTATGCGCCTACAAACGTCTCAGAACAAGAGAAGAAGGAGGCGTTCTACAGACAACTACAAGCAATAATGGACAACGTCCCAAATGGCGATATCAAAATCCTGATGGGCGACATGAATGCGAAGCTGGGACGAGACAACACAGGAAGAGAACTCACCATGGGTCGTGAGGCCCTCGGTGAAATGAACGACAATGGTGAACTCTTCTCAGACTTCTGCGCCTTCAATGATTTGGTGATTGGTGGTAGTGTGTTCAAACACAAGGATATACACAAGACGACATGGATTTCACCAGATGGAAACACCAAGAACCAAATAGACTTCATCTCAATTTCAAGAAAGTGGAGACGGAGCCTACTGGACACAAGGTCAAGGAGAGGAGCAGATGTGGGTTCAGACCACTATCTAGTACAAGGGACTTTCAAGGTGAAACTAAAAGCCTCGAGGATAGCTGGGGATAGGCCACAATGCAAGTTCAACACTCAATTACTGAAGGACACAACCACAAAAGACACCTTCACTGCAACTGTCAGAGCAAAGCAGGAAACACTACGCGACATCACTGAAGAATCATGCGTGGAAGAACATTGGAAGTCTCTGAAGGCGATTCTCAACGAAACGTGTTCAACGGTTCTAGGAAGAAAGAAGAGACAAGACAAGGAATGGCTCTCAACGGACACTTGGAAATTAATAGAAGAGAGGAGAATGGTGAAAGAGAAAATGATTCAATGCAAGGACGGACAGGAGAAGGAGACGCTGAGCTCAACTTACAAAGCATTGGACAAAGAAGTGAAGAAGAGTGCTAGGAAGGACAAAAGACGATTCTACGACAACCTCGCCACTGAAGCTGAGAAGGCAGCAGGCAAAAGGGACCTGAGGACACTATATCAGATAACCAAATCTCTATCCGGGAAGAGATCAACACAAGCGAAACCTATAAAAGACAGCCAA